GTGCACAAACCACTGTGCTAACCATAGTTCCTGGAGTCCCTTCACTGAGTAAAACGTGCACAAACCACTGTGCTAGCCAGCCATAGTTCCCGGAGCCCCTTCACTGAGGCTGGGTCAGGAGCAGTAAGTACCAGCACAGGAAACACAGTACCAGGGGACAGCTGTGTCCCTAGGTCAGGGTGGCTGAATGTTTTCATTCTGTCCCCCTACTTTGGGGCCAGCTAGGGCTTAGAACCATGGGGGTCCTACTGGGGGTCTCCACGGCTCTCAGAGAACCTGTTAAGTGGGGGGTAGACAGGTTAGAGTCAAGAGGAGCCGGAGGATTAGGAGAAGGGGGTACCCTTTTCACCCCTCCCCTCTGCACTATGTAGGGGCATCACTCAGACTTCTGCATATGCTGGTGCCTGGGCTGCTGTGGGGTGAGTGTGAACATGACTCACACACAAGGGCTCCTTGACAAGAGTCTGTGTGAAGGGGCCTGGGAATCGGTATCCCCACCTGGTTCCAGGCAGAAACACGGCCCCTAACTGTGCTCTGCTTTAAGGGAGTATCCAACGAAGGCCTGGGTCTCCTGGCTCAGAGTCCCCAAGACAGGAGTAACACTGGTGCTATTTATTTAGTGAGAGGCACCCAAGGAAGGTTATTAATTCCAGGGTTACTTGTGGGTGGGTGGGTGGGGGGCCGCAGCGGCAGTAAGGCTGAAACCACCCCATCCCCCGAGCTCCTGCCATGGATTCTAGATGCTGGGTGAGCAAACCTAGAAGCACTAACCAGAGGTCCTATGGACATTCAAACATGGAAGAATCATCCCAGAGCAGAAATTTCATCCAAATACAAAAAGTCAAGTATTATTTTTATCCTCGACGTAAGCAGTTATTTCACGGAAAAAGAAGCAAAATCGCTATAAAAATAATGATAAAACAGTCTCCAAGGAAAAAGGTCTTCGCTTGAGTCCTGGGTCCTCCCCTTTGAGAGTCTGCGAGGCCAGCCGCACAGACAGGCAGGGGCAGGGGCCAGCTCTGTCCTCTGTCACTAGGAAGCAGGCTGGGGAAGAAGTGGCAGGCAGTGGTGTTTGGATGGTCGGGGTAAGAGAGAAGAGGGGCCTCCAACAGGGCACACGTGGAGACCCCAAGGAGTCTTTATCAGCCAGAGCCCCCTGCAGGACCTTCAGGGACCTTGCCCTGCGGCCATGACTTAGATGGAAAGTCCCACGGAATGAAAACTCTGTACCCACGAGTCCCCTGAGTTACTGTTTTGCGATAGCAAAGGCCTGTGAAAGGCACCAAAGGCTGGGGCCTGACAGTGCCACTCCAGCGCCTGGGCCGAGGGACCGGCTCAGAGTCTGGGGGAGATATCTGTAGCATTGATCGGGAGAGACACCTAGCAAAGACGTGGAAAACACCAAACTGTGGAACCGCAGATATGAAATAATCCCATTGTTAAGGAGATGTGACGGTTAGAAACTGTGTTCCTGGGGAAAAGACTTTGGCCTGTGTGTTTCCAACTGTTCCCAACGACCGGGGTATTTTTTTTTTTTTTTTTTTTTTAAAGTCAGGATGAAAAAGTCTCTAGCACAAGGCACAGTTTTCTCAGAGCCACAAAGATGCTAAAATAGAGTTAAATACGGAAGGTATGTATGACAGAGAAAGGCGCCTGGGACAGAACATTGATTGGAACAGCAGAGTGTGAAACGGTATGTACACTATGTCTAGAGTCCAGATGGCACGGGCCAGGCTCAGAGAAAAACCCAGAAAAGACAAGAAGCGATGCTGTTTGAACGAGCTAGGGTGTGGGCTTTTCTCTGCTCCCCAACAGGGCACCGAGGCTGACTTTTCCCTAGTCAGAGGCAGGTTGAAGAGACAAAGAAAAGCCGGGCCAGTCAGGCTCCAGCTTTGTGCCCATCGCGCCCACCCTCGCAGACCGTCCTGAAATGGAGCCTGAGCGCCTCCCTGTGGTCATAGCAGGGATTGTCTAAGGCTGAGCACAAGGAAGGCTGCTCCAGAAATAATCCAGAGTCAGGCTGGGGGGATCTGAGCTTGGGAGCCAGGGGTGCTGTGTTCGCAGAGGCGCAAAGGAACTCGGACTATAAACTTCTAGTGGATAACAAGACTACTCCACCAAGGGGTGAAGTGGACAGCCATCGTGTCCATGAGAGAGGAGAGAAACCTCTGTGTGTGTGTGTGTGTGTGTGTGTGTGTGTGTGTGTGTGTGTGTGTGTACCTGACACAAACCAGTGTTACCTAAAAAGAGGAACCTCAGCTGAGACAATGCCTCCACCAGATTGCCTTCAGGGACATATGTCGGGCATTTTCTTGAATAGTGACTGATGGGGGAGAGCCCAGCTCACCGTTTGGTCTGGGTTGGACAGCAAATTGAGCAAGCCCAGGAGATGCAGCCCAGAGAGCATCCTTCCTCCATGGTCCCTGCTTCAGCTCCTGCCTCACTTCCCTCGGTGACCTCGGAGTTTAAGTCAAGTAAATCCTGTACCCCTGTCCCCCCCCCCCCCCCGTCTCCCCGAGTTGCTTTTGGCCATGGTCTATATCACAGCAGTAGAAATCGAACTAGAACACCAGGCTTTGGCCCCTGTTCAGATGAGCCTTTCGACTTCTCCCGTGTGTAAAAGCCCTCCCTAGCTCTTGCCACACTGGCAAAAGACGCCTGCAGGTGGCCTCCAGCCCTGGTTCTGCTGTTTGGGGCTGTATGAATAAGCTCCAAGCCACCTGACTCTAGACTCCAGTGCCCTACCACAGAAAACAGAATCAGCCTCCCAGGGCTCTGCTTCCCATGTGGCGCCGGTAACGGCCCCAGAAGAAAGCAGTTTGGCATGTTACGGATCTTTTCACAAACGAAGCAGGATAGGAGCCATCGGCATAGAGTGCACTTAGCCAGGTTTCCTATGTTCTGGAGCCTCTGAAGCGCGTACCTGCGTGCGTGCACGCACACGCGCGCGCGCGCGCACACACACACACACATACATACACACATTCACTGCGGGTCATGGCCAGTTTCAGAAGCGCTGTCTCAGAGTTAACATGAGCTCCCTCAAGCAAATGCCAATTAGCTCAGTTGCTGGCACTGGGAAAAAGCTCTCGGGAGAAAAAAAAAACAAAACATCACTTATTATTCCTGACAGAGCCGATAATACCAACTGGTGTCACATGGGTCCTTAAAAAAAAAAAATCTGGCAGGAAGGGGAGTCCTCTTGGTGCTGTTTTCCCAGAATCCAGAAGCCAGCCACCCCCCCAAGGGCCCAGAGCTCCCCGCAGGTGGTCTCAGGCTGGCTGCCATGCTGCCTAACACCCGCCCCCCCCCCCCCAACTCCGCTACCAGACTAAGAAATTCAAGGCAGCAGTTGCCAGCCCCGAGAGCATTTTCCTACCCAAAAAAGGAGCCACTCTGCTAACTCTGTTGTTCAGCCAAAGGCTGGTGTAGCCTCAGAAGTCCATTTCGGTTGGCACTGCTCGTGGTTATTTAGAACGGGCATATGGCGTGAGTTCAAACAATGCCTTATCCTTAACAAAATAAAGCCCAGGCAGGGCCCTAGGGCTGGGCGAGGCCCATAAGGAATGGATGTTACAGGCTTCTCCCCATATGCCCCTGGTTTCCTTACTGCCTGTCCCTTGTGGACCAGACTCCCCCTCCCACCCACCCCCCACCCCCGCCCCAACATACACCCTGGCTGGAGGCTACTGGGAGGAGACTGATTCCCCTGGCCTGGGTACCTTTGCCCAATGTGAGGCCTCATCTCCTCTGTGGTGGGGCTCACATACCACACTGGGGAAGGAAAGCCTGTGCAGAGTGGGCAGCATTTGGAGGACCTCATTTTGTATGACATCACACTGGACATGCCTCGGTCCAGTTCTTTGGTGGCTTTTGCTTCAGGCAGGCCTCCCCTGTCTGTATACTGAGGACGGCGGTAAATTCCCAAGACCCATTTGTCACAGTGTGGAGAAGGGGGCCCTGGCCCGTGGTCTGGTTCTGTTGAAAGTGAAATCTACGACGATAGCTACTGTGAACATCTATGCATCCTAGATAATCTTCCCCCGAGCTCCAGGTGGTAGGGACTGTCAAGAGCCCATTTTTTACTGAGGAAAACCAAAGGAAGAGGCAGATAGCCAGGGAGTCTTGGCTCCTGAAGGATGGAGCTGGAATTCAGGTAAGCCCTCACACTCAGTGCCAATTGGCACCACTCTTCACCTTCCAAGGTTGCTTGCAAAGCAAGGAACAGATGGGACACAGTACATGAAGAATGGAATATTATGCCCAGCATGGAAAATTATTAGTATATTAGTTGCTCTTTGCTTGAGCCAAGAAGGAGAAAAAGCATTCTGGGATGGCTGAGTAGCCGGTTTCCATTAGGGAAGCCACTGCGTTCTCAGCCCATGTCCACTGGAGGGGCTGTGGCTGGAGATGTCTGACTGTACGTCTCTTCCTCCAGCCTGTGCCCCGTCCCCACCCCCAACACGGAGCGGTCCACTCCACGTAGCCAGAGCTCCGGTGCAGCTCACTGATTGGCTGAATGCATCAGAGAGGAGTGAAGCAAAGAGGTCCCTATTGGGTTGGCTTCTCTGTCTCCTTTTGGAGCGTGTGTGAGCATGAGAAGGGGATACTGTCCCGTCACTGCAGCGGACATCACCTGCTGGTCCCAGGTGACTAACACCCGCCTATTCGTGGAGGCTTCCAACGGTCCTGGAGGAGCTGAAGGAAATCCTGCCTTACAGATGGTGAGTCACACTGCCACTCACTCAGCAAGAAGGAGAACTCAGGTCCCAGTGCCAGCAGACAGGGTCCAGCAGGCTGTACTACTTACTGGGCTATCATGGGCTAACTCTGTAGCGCTAGCCACAGATGGGGGATAGACGAGGGATGGGCAGGTGATTCTGAGCCCAGCCACAAAGGGAGCTGACACTGAGGTGGAGCGGAGTGAACTCTCTTGGGCACACCGGGTCAAAGCCCCACGGCCATTTGAGCAAATGACCCGGGAAGCAGTGGAGACCTACCGCATGATGCCCAGGGGATCCAGCGCCTCTTCCTCCTCTTCCTCTTCTTCCTCCAAGAACTTCTCCACAACCTTGTTGCTTAGGCCCAGCGTGGGCGGCTGCACTTCGTCCTGCTGCTCAAAGAAGTCAAAAGCCTCATCGCTGTCCCCTGGCTGGCTGGCTGTGTCATCCAGGACAGAGGGATCTCTAGGGGCAAGGCCTGCAGCCCCTCCAGATCTGGTGCCTACGGAGGAAGCAGAAAATAAGAGCTTGATGTCCACTCTCAAGGACACCCACCCTCCCAAGCCAGGTTCTGAGGGCTTCCTGTAACTTCCCGGGACCTCAATTCTGCTTCATCCTGAATGGAGAGTCTGGGAGAGGGCCAGGTCCCGTAGTACGCCCCCCGCCCTCAGTGATGCTGGCACCCCAGGAACTTGGTGTGGCCTACTCGTGGTGAATGTCAGAACAAGTTGAAGGAAGGCGTTTCAGAATTTCTGTGGCCCAGTCTTGTGTGAACTTTTTCTTGTGTCCAGGGAGACATGGACAATTCTCTATTTGTCCCAGATAGAGGACCACCTGCAGGACAAAGGGAACACTCCACCCATGCCTAGCTTGATGTGCTGAGTGTAGCTGGGGTTACTTATAGGAGCATGGGCGGCTGACTTATAAGCAGTTATACCATGTAAAAAAAAGCCTCCCTCCTAACAGCTGCTAATTCCTTGTCTATCTGTCCATCCATCTGTCTGTCCATCTATCCATCCATTCATCCATATGTCCCTCCATCCATCCATCCATCCGTCTGTCCATCTATCTACCCATCATCTGTCTATCCATCTGTCCATCTGTCCGTCTATCTGTCTGTCCCTCGATCTGCCCTAACTGTCCCCTGGGGAGAGGTGGGGCCGTGTGAGTCTCCCCAACATCCACAAGGAAAGGTTAATGGACCCAATCTTGTATGCTTCCCATACCGGTAAGTGATCACAGTTGCTAAGAATTCAAGAGAGCAACAGCTGCGTCATGCCAGAGGCCCGCATGCCACAAACCCAGAGTTAACTCTACCACAGAAACAGCCAAGCCAGTGCCCAGTAACCCCGTGGTGAAGCACGCCAGCCAGTGTACAGGAGGCTTGAGCAGGACTCTCTCTCTCTCTCTCTCTCTCTCTCTCTCTCTCTCTCTCTCTCTCTCTCTCTCTCTCAATGGTTTGCAGTAGTAAGTCCCCGCCAGGGACTCTGCTGACCTAACCTCAGGCAGCCAACGGCAGGCGCCTGCACTATCCGCTTTCCACCTGAATGAGCACAGTGAGCACATAGGAGATTCCAGAGCAAACGGTGACCACCCCAGGACCACCGGGCTTACATCCGCTCTTCTCAAAGCACCAGAGGTAGGTGTTTGTGATGAGAAAGGGGAAGCAAGGCCCCCCAAAATGGGCACAGAGGCTTGTTGGCATCACTGCATCATCTGAGCACACAGTATCTGTGAGCGTATCTGTCTCCCAGCGAGAGGCTTGGAATAAATAGCTAGTCCTCCCCCACAGACAGTTTGAGAAGCGTAGGTTTGGACTGTTTGTTCATCTCTAGGCAAGCAGTGACTGGGTAGTTACCCTTTGAAACAGTCACTTAAAAAAAAAATCACATCAGGCGCTGGTGGCGCACAGCTCTAATCCCAGCACTCGGGAGGCAGAGCCAGGTGGATCTCTGTGAGTTCGAGGCCAGCCTTGGCTACAGAGTGAGTTCCAGGAAAGGCGCAAAGCTACACAGAGAAATCCTGTCTCGAAAAACAAAAACAAAAACAAAAATCACTCAGCCAGGTATGGTGGCACACACCTTTGATCCCAGCACTCGGGAGGCAGAGGCAGGTGGATCTCTGTGAGTTTGAGGCCAGCCTGGTCTATAAAGTGAGTTTCAAGGCAGCCAGGGCTACATAGAGAAACTGTCTTGAATGAATGAATACCACCCAGGACTACATAGAGAAGCTCTGTCTCAAATAAACAAACAAGCAAGCAAGCAAGCATCACTCAGTCGTCAAAATCTTAAAAAGCACTCTCCAGCCTTCACATGTGGTTTATGGGAATTATGCCCTGTCTTGTAGATGTAGAACTGGAGACTCACAGGATCAGAAAAGAGCAAAGTTAAATGATTGATGGGAAAAGGAAGGTGGAGGGGGGGGGAGAGAGGGAGAGAGGGAGAGAGAGAGAGAGAGAGAGAGAGAGAGAGAGAGAGAGAGAGAGAGAGAGGAAGAGAGAGGGGCAGCATCCACAGATGTGGCCTGGCCCCATCATCCAGGGCATGAAGGGCAGATGCTTGCCCAGGGGAGTTTAAGTAGACAGGAGTACTGGAGGCGGTGGCCTTTTAATTACCACCCTCTGGACAAACAGGCTCTGTTTAAAGCATTTTATGCATGTTGGTTCATACACCCCCACAATCTCCATCAGTAAATTACTTCTCTCATAGAAAATACTGATGGGGGTGGGGGAAGAGACTCCCTGATGCTATAAAAAGAGTCTGAGGTCCTCAGAGTTGGCTACAGGACTGCCAGATCACACCGGTACTCTCCATGTGGGGCATGGGCTGAGTGTGATACCCACAAAGGACCCAGACAGCAGGCTGGGAGTGGAACCCAGTGTTCTCTGGATGTCGCAGGCTGCCAGGTCTGGTTGGAAGGACGCGGAGAGACAGGTGTATACACAAGTGTGTAAGTGAAGGGAGCGATATAATGAGGATGGCGAGGAAGGCCATGGTGAGGTCACTCTGTGAATACCCGCTGGCATCTGGAGGTCGGTGAGGCCCAAGTACCTCAACAGCTTTGCTAAGGGTTGTGGGCCATGGAGGGTGGCAAGGGGACTCCCCAGTGAGTCACAGTGGTGAGAGGGCTTTGGGCTGCAGAGCCCTCAGGGACGTGGGACAAAGCCTCGGGTACCTAAGAATTCTAGCAGCTCTGGGCTTCCCGCCAACTGGGCATCCTTGGAGATACAGCGCAGAATTTCATCAAACATGGCTCTCCTTTCCCGAATGTCAGACTCCCCAACAAACAGGACCTTCCTAGGCAGCGGGGGCAAGCTGGCTGCTGGGTAACGACTGCTCAGTTTCTGGTAAAACTCCTCGATCTCGCTGTATTTTTTGGAGACCTGGAATGAGAGGAGTGTGGGGTTGCCTGAGAGAAGAGCCAAGGGAAAGAAACTTCCTCACCCTGACCGACCAGATACGTGCCTGGAGCAGGCCTGCCCGCTGCCCCTCTGCATTCCTCCAGCCTCAATTTCTGGTCCCCAGAGAACTCTCAAAGTCCCAAAGGAAGGATGCGATAATGAAGAGACCTCAGGTACCACTGCAGGTTTATGTAAAGGCCTTTAACAGGGACCTACAGGGCCTGTAAATGACCCTGGTCTCCACCTATTCCGGGCTTTCTAAACCCTAGCAGAGCAAGTTCGGCACCTGGCAGGTGACGGGCCATCTTGTGACAGCATTGTGAGTCACCTTTTCACAGTGCAGACATCTTGCTCATTCTCTGACTTGAACTGGCCTTCTGACGGGGCCTGTCCTGACATGCGGCAGAGCCGACCGAGTACTGTCCAGCAGGATTCACTGATGCATGGGAGTCTGGGTGGAGCAGGCCACAGCTCCGGCTGCTGCCACCAAGTGGTCTCAGGTCTTCCTGGAGTCTCCAAAGGTAGCACTTGGCTTACTGCTGATCACAGGCTAGCTGCCTCGACTGATCATGGCCACCTCCCAGTTCTGAACCACCCCCTCCCCAGCTCAGTGATCACTCTTTCATATACGGTACTCTGGCTATGCATTTGTGGACAAAGAATTCCCCAGCTGGTTCTGGGCCTCGTGCAGTGAGCAGCCACAGCCCTGTGGGTTTGGTGCCATTGCTGGGACCTGTACAGTGCATATGAGCTCAGACAAAAGTCACCTGCCTTATGCTACAGCCTTCACCAACACCCTGGGTTTCCTCAGTTCTGGACTCACTGAGGCTTCCCTGGAGGCTAGGCTGAAGTGGTACTTGCTCTGCCCATGACCTTGAGCTATAGGGCCTAATGGATTCGGCACTTCTTTCTTGTTGTATGTGACCTCTTAAAAGGAGAGGAGAGAGGGGTCATGTGTTTCCTTTTTTTTTTTTTTTTTCAAATTTTATCCTTGCGTGATTCTCAGAACTGAACGCAGTTCCTCTGGAATATCAATCAGTCAGTGCTCTTAACCACTGAGCCATTTCTCCCCTCGGAGCATCCGGATAGCTCCATCAGTAGAGCATGAGACTCTTAATCTCAGGGTCGTGGGTTCGTGACCCATGTTGGGCACCATTTGTTAAGATCAACCACGTGAGCCTATTTAATGGGTAATAGGGATTTATTAAGATATAAATTCACATGAGTCTATCTAATAGGTAATAGGGATTTATTACGATATAAATTGAGGAAATCACTCATGAATACAGAACCGAGTAAACAGCCGAAGTCATCCTCTGTTCTGACGGGGAGCCAATCCACCCAGCTGTCCAATCATGCCAGGAAGTAGGAAGCAGGTAGAAGGGACCTCATGACCCCTCTCCCTTTCCTTTTAAGAGGTCACATACGGCAAGAAGCACCGCCTCCTTCGGGCCATATAGTCCAAGGCCGTGGGCAGAGCAAATACCACTACACTAGGCCCGTCTCACCATAAATATGTGGATGAAGACATGAATGACCTGCACCCCCCGGCCTGGCTGCACTGTCTTAAGTATGTATGCTGGTGTGTGACTGGATTGTAGGTGTCCCCACCACTGGGACTTTGGAAGGCCTGGCGGTTGCCCAACAGTGTGATTCACAGCTCGTTAACCAGCATACCACCCAGTTTTAAGGTCCTAGACACCAGGAGGTGCAGTGAGGGTAGGGGTGAGATGTGGCGCTTTAGCAGTCCCCTGGGACAGGAAGCTGCCACCCATAGTTCCAGCCTGGCTCTGGAACTTTCCTGGGAAGAACTCTCAAGGAAAGAGTAAAAAGGATCCGCAGCGCACCAGTTACTCAGGTTCCCACCTGAATCCCCGAGTTGTTCTGAGGCTCTGGAAGCTACAGCCAGGCCACAGCGAGGAGTGAGCTCCCCCTGCTGGCCTAAACTGCACCACGCAGGTTCAGGCTACAGACCTACAAATCAGGCAATGTGAGCTCTAAGTCGGGGAGGCTTCAGCACCAGCTAGGGCTTTCATTCATTTGAAAGCATCAAGCAGCTGCCAGAAAACATGATAAGCACAACAGGGAGCTGAAGTGTGAACATAAAAACATCCGGGACCTCTGTGTGGCAGGCACTGCAAAGCCCTGGGCCCACAGTAATGCTACCTCACGGTCCTCTGGTATGTGTCCATGCCCATGCAATAAGTATTTGCAGGGTGGCTGCCAGACCTTAGATAAATATGTGTTCTTCCCTGGGGGCTAGCATTACCTCATGGCTAACAACTAAATGCTTGCTTTTATTAAAAAGTATATATCCTTAAGCCGGGCGGCGGTGGGGTACGCCTTTAATCCCAGCACTCAGGAGGCAGAGCCAGGCGGATTGTGAGTTCGAGGCCAGCCTGGTCTACTGAGCGAGATCCAGGACAGGCACCAAAACAAAGAAACCCTGTCTCAAAAAAAGCCAAAAAAAAAAAAAAAAAGCCAAAAAAAAAAAAAGGTATATATCCTTTTAAGGAGCAGACACAAAATCCTTACTCATTCTTTTAGCTAACTCATATAATTCCAGGAGGATTTCAGACCTGAGAGCAGAACTCTGGGCCACCGTCCTGGGTACCATGGTGTGGGGGAGCAAATGAGTTTTCCTTTGCCCTCTTAGGTCCTTACTTCAAGGTCTGCAAAGCACCAGCATGGACGCGCATGCCCACGCTTTTTGTACACACCCCAGCATGCTTTCCACAGGGTGTGGGCATCCCTGTTTCGGGACAAAGCAGCACTAGTGTGGCATGTGGAAGTGTCACAGGTGACCTTTCATTCACCCTGCTGACATGCAGTCCTTGGTGCAGGGCAGAGCAGGCTGCACTGGAACCCCATCCTGTGTCCCCAGGATGCTGCCTCTCCCTCAGGCCCCAGCATCACTCACTCCTTTTTCTGCTCCGGTCTCTGACTACCTGGGTGCACTGAGCTCACGCAATCTGAGGTCACAGGTCAGATGACCAGCGGCCACAAAGGGTCCCACAGAACAGATCCCGCTCTCAGAACACAGCGGACCCAGGACTATCGGCTCACATTCCACCTGGGTTCCACTAAGAGTTGGTCTAAGGAGCGATCAGATGAGAAATAGCACTGTTGTGGAACGCCGCTTCAAGAGAGATGTGTGGCTTACATCACTCTTATAATTTGGTCCCTTGCTGTCACAGAGCTGCGCACTCATCATTTTCCTCTTGTGTCGGTTGCCTGGAGTTGTGGAACCAACCTGCAGCAGGCTGCGCCCTTGTGGACTAGAGGACTCTGGTTCATCTGACCTCATTCTAAGACCTCACCATGTCTGGAGCCCTTCAATAAGAGGCCAAAGGGTAAATCACTGCTTTTTTTTTTTTTTTAAATTCTCTGTTCCCTTAGCTTCTGTGACTTCAGTCACCCAGCTTCATCCTTCTGCCTGGACGGCAGACTCAACGGCTGCCGGCCTGCTGGTGTCTCCAGGATTTCCTCCTCGGCTCTTCTCCCTGTTACCCACTAGGTAGCTTTATCCACTCCCAGCTCTAACATGTCTTCCAAGCTGATGTCTACATACCCGAGTCTCAGGCCTGGCCCACTCCAATGCTGGGCTTCTTGTGTCCACCCAGTGGGTGAATACAGCACTCAGCATAACCACCACAGTCCCTAACCTGCTCCTCAACAATGTTGCTGATCTCAGCCAATGGAAGCCGCACACTGTAAGCACCTCCCTCTCTCCTTGCCCCACCTACTGTTCCTGCGGACTTCCGGACTTCCCGGCCTGGTGGCTTACTGTGCTGTCCCCAGAACCAGGCTCCCTGTCCCCTAATCCCAATGCCTTGCTGTTACTAGGCTCGCTGGTTAAAGGCAGATGTCACTTCCCTGCTTAAAACGACTTGTCTGCAGACAAGTCCAGGTACAACTGTGTCCTGCATGTCATCATCCACCCTGTGTCTTCCCGTGTCATCCCAAGACCATACTCAACGGCTCAGAGACTCCCAGTTCCCTGCCCCTTCCCAGCCCCTGAGCCTTCTTTCTGGGACACTCTTCCCTCTTCCTCTGCTGTTTAGCACCCCCACCCCACCCTCAAAAAGGAGTTTCTCTGTGTAGCCTGGCTTGTCCTGGAACTTGCTCCGTAGACCGGGCTGGCCTTGAACTCAGAGATTCGCCTGCCTCTGCCTCCTGAGTGCTGGGATTAAACGCTTCCACCACCACCGCCCAGTAATACCATCTATCCTGTAAAACCCTGTCCTGCCTCCACCTCTTCCAGAGAGTTTCCAGAATCTTTTCTTCAAGGTGTATTAGGTTGCTCCCTCTACACATTTCCAGTCTCCCATGTGCTCCTGGCAGTGGCCACGTCTCTTTACCAAGGCTGCCTTCCTGTGGACTCTAAGCATGGATCTACTCTGGTAGAGCCTGTCTACCACACAGTCTAACACTCCAGACCCTCCCTAGGCATTTGTTGTATAGGGAAGTGTCAGCACTCTGATGCTACTGCACCCTGTGGGGCAGACACCCTGCCTGGGCACCCTCAGAGCATCGTGGCTAGGGTCCTCTGCTCACCAAGAACTGGACGACATCTTCAGGCCGGTGCTTGGCGGACTTGAACACAGCCAACCGGGTCACCCCCAGGATCTGGTATTCCACGTGGCCGGACATCATCTTGCCCCGCACTTCCTGGTGCTGTGGCACGGTCAAGTCAAGGCCTGTGTGCACATTCTGAACTTGCCTGTAAAGCGAAGGAAGGCAGATCAAGATCAGGTTCAAGGCAGCAGGCTTTGCCAGTGAGGTACAGGCAGGTCAGAATGGCCCAGTCATTGGGTTCTGGACCACGGAGTTGTGTGTCCCTGTCAGTCTGTCCTTGCATTCTGACGGTGTGTGTGTGTGTGTGTGTGTGTGTGTGTGTGTGTGTGTGTGTGTGAGTGTGTGCGTGCGTGTGTGTGTGTGTGTGTGTGTGTGTGTGACTGCACAGACCTTACGCATCCCATGTGAGGGGCATCAGCAAGCATGAACCCCACTGCAGGCTTAAGCTAACCTGCTTCTGGGGAAACACCGCAAGGCATCAAGGCAGATACACGCTGCACAATGAGATACACTAAGCCAGCCCACTTCTTTGCCGATGGCCCAACGACAGTGTTCTGTGTGACCCTGAATGAAGACCACATGCCACTGTCGCGAGGACAGGAGGGAGGAGGGAGACTGAAGGGGGCAGTATGGGGAACGCATCTGGCCCGCTCAGCAGGTAGAATGCATGAAATTGTTCCATCCGCTCAGTGCCACTGCAAAGATAGGAACAGACCCTGAACTGTCAGAGCTCCAGGGAGTAAGTAATCCCAGGGAGCCTCTGCCAGTGGGATAGGAAAATGAGGCATCTTTTCCTTAGGACTGTTAAGACAATGGAACTGAGGTAGTGGGAAGTGATAACGTGGAAGACTATTCACCCTGAATGGCAGAAGATGGGAGAGGATCATCAAGTCCCTACTGGAACCTCCAATGGACCCTGCTCCCTGGAGGTGTTCCATAGTCAACCACAGCAGGAACTGAACTCCACAGCCTACCCCTGTGGTATTGACCCTACCAGCTGAGTGTACTGGACAACAGGATCTCTACGTCTTCTTCATGCCTAGGGCTGAGCTGGATTAGAAAAACCCACTTAGGCAATACATCGCTTCCTTTGCCCCTGTGCCCAGGCAGCTCTGCCCGACTGGCACCCTTATGCTTCCCTGGCCCTCCCTGAAACTCCTGGGAACACGACCTCATTCAGACGTGGAGTTCTCAGGATGCGGTCCCTGGACGGCATAAGCGTCACCAGGGAACTTGTAAGCATGGTACACTTGCGTCACTGAGGTTGGTAAGAGCAGACCTCAACTATCTCAAGCTTTGCACACTAGCCTACTTCCTTTGCATCCACTCAGCTCTGCCTTCAGACACAATGGAGAAGCAGCCACAGGCAATACCTGCCCAGTCCGGGTGTGTCCTTTGTACAACTGAAATTGTTAGTTCCGGCCCCCGGGGCAGTTACATCATCACCCGTCGCCAGGTGCCTTTCTACCTATGGACATGCGCACTCCTTTATAAAGTGTCTGCCAGGCACGGCTCGCTCTCTCGCCTTTTGTCTCTTGCCTGTTCTCTCTGTGTCGGTCTGTCCACCTCCCTCATGTTCCCACTCCAAGAGGCTTTCGTGTTTTCACTCTTCTCCCCTCCCCCCATAACCTCTTGCACTCACTCTGTCTCGGGTGGCGTGTTTGCTTAGGGGCATACTTTGGCAGGGCCCGCCGAAAGGTACCCACTTTCGGAATCACAAAAGCGAGTAGTTGGCAGGATATGGCTCACGGGCATAGTCTGCTCACCTGCGTCCTAAAACAAGCTGCTCAATCGCGATGTGGCTACAGGTCCCTTAGGATCCTGTTAATTTCATTCCCACGGCTCACCGTGATCTGACTCACACTGCCCTCCACGGGCCTCACCCAGACTCAAGGCCTTCCATGACATCCCAGGCCAATGGCTCCCCAATTCCTACCTGTGATCCAGACTCTTCCCTCCAGGCCATCCCACCTCTCAACTTACCTAGCATCTCCGTTTGACTGTCAATCATGTTTTAAAATGAACCCATCTGAGCCGGGCGGTGGTGGCGCACGCCTTTCATCCCAGCACTCGGGAGGCAGAGGCAGGCAGATCTCTCTGAGTTCGAGGCCAGCCTGGTCTACAGAGTGAGATCCAGGAAAGGCGCAAGAACCCATCTGAACAAATGCTGATTCCCGTCTCACGTGTCCCCATCCCAGGAAGCAGTGAGCTCAGGACAGTAGCCCTGCAGCTGATCTCCATGTCGTTCCCCCCGCCCCCGCCCCCACACAACTTCACCATTTACAGACCTCAGAGCTCATCATTCAGAACACAGAGAGCCTAAATAGACCTCAGCCCCTCTTCCCCTCAGTGGGGCCACTCCACCACGGCACCACAAGGATTCCAGCCAGTGCCTGCAGAACATGGGTGCAGCAGCCAAAGGGTCTCCCTACTCCTAGTCATATGGCCTCTCTGTCTATGCTTTTCATCGCACTCAGAATGAAACCTCACGGTCTTTCTCTGTTGCGGGCTCTCCAGGGCCACCTCGCTCTCAATGCTCCCCCTTACTTCAATACACTGGCCTCTGCACCGTGGCTCTTGCTGTCTTCTCTGCTGAGCACACATATCAAGATTTTCTTTCTATAGTTCTCTCCCTCAGGGGACTTCCCAAGAGCCTGTTCACCCGCCGTCTCTCAGAAAGATGTTCCTTGACCACATCGTATAAGACTCATGTCTACCCAGACCTCCCATCATTTGACCATCTTTTCTCAGCATCCTTGACATAGCTCGCCTTTTCCCACATCCCACTCATTCCCAACATAGCCTCACCATTCTATCCTAAAACCTGGACCAGTATCTGGCACAGAAGAGGCCCCCGAGAAAACACATGCTGGCTGGATGCATGTGTGAAGCCCGGGAGAGAAGGAAGAAGCTGGAAATATCAGCTGATCCTGGGTCCAAGGCCACCTAAGTGCTTGCTAAGATGTCAACATTCCTCACGGGCAAGCTCCCTGTGTCTGCTGTGACTATCAGAATGGACAGGCCACGACTCCTCTGCCCTCACCATGAGCAGCACTCTGTCACACCCATGTGCATGCTGTCACCGAGGGAAGTCACCACTGCCCTTCCTAAGCACCAGCACCAAATTCACAGTCATGGGTCTGCTTGGTGTGGCCCGCAGGGGCATTTACTGTTCCCATGCTTATACCTATCTATATGGAACCTCCATCTACAGAAAGGGAAATCGAGGCTTGGAGAAACGAACACCACCACCACCACCACCACACAGGGCGATAGAGACATCTGTTCGAACGCAGATGTGGTCTGTAGCCTCGTTCACCAAACCAAGAAGAGCAAGCAGCTTCCAACACCAGGGGTTATGTACAGAATCACATTTTTTTTTTTTATACAGGGAGCTGGGAGTACAGCTGAACCTGTGTTGGGTAATGTGTCCATTTACACAATAAGCTGGTATCTTGGCTAGAGTTCGTGTAGGGAGCGCAAAGGCAGAGTATACGAACAATCCTTAGAAGTTCGAAGTTCGCCATTTTAGAGTTACTTAAAAAGCAGCAGAGAAAGAGTAGGTCCACTCCCCTCCCAGACTTTCCAAGTTCTATCCCGCCTGGGTCTCTTAGGTGTGGCTCTGTGTGGGTGCACACTGCCGCTGACCCCTTTGCGGAAGCTCCTGAGCTCTCTCCAGCGCCAACAGCCAGGCTCTCACTCAGCTCTACCTGGTGGCGCCCAACAGCAGCGGTGTGCTCCCAGGGCAACTGGAACTTACTGCCCCGTCCCTCCCGCAGCACCAGCCACCCCGGTGCGGGTATCCCCCGCAGGACCAGCTTGTTTGATTCATCTCGTCCCTGGTGCTTAGCGTCGGGTTGGTACACACAGAGCTAGCGCTGAAAGGCTGGGGGGAGGCGGAAGAAATGACCCCAAAGTACTCAAGGGCAGGGAGCGCGATCGGACCAGTCCCCAGGCCTTCCTAGGGTCTTGGATGAGTGCTTTATCCTCTAGGGGGCCTCGGTTTCCTCGTCTGTAAAACTGGGGGCGCTAGATGGCGCGCCACCACACCCGCGGGGCAGTGGGGTGCAGCGGAATAAACCGCCAGGCTGCAAGGGTACCCGGGACGCGAGGGTCGGAGGTCTGGCTCACCTGGAGGTGACAAGCACTGCTGGGGACTGCATGTCGGCTGCGGGCGGGTGGACGGTCACGGGACACGGCGTCGCTGCGTCCCGGCCCCTCCCAACTCGGGCTCGGCACCGCCTCCTCGGCTCTGGCCTGCCCCCTGGTGGCGCGCCTTGCACCTCGCGGCCTCCGTGCCCTCGGGGTAGTGGGGGGGGGGGCTTTGTTTTTCAGCCCTCCCTAGATTCCCCCATAGTCACCTCATAAACCTGGAACCTGATGTCATTTAATGCCAGTACATGCTTAGCCCTCTAACGTGATAGGACTGCAGCCGCTAGTCCTCAAACCTCTCGCCTACAGCAAACCGCAAAAGCACTTTCTCCTCTCCAATCTCTCTCTCTCTCTGTCTCTGTCTCTCTTTCCCCCCGCCGGCCCCCCCCCCCCCCCACCGCATGTGCGTGTGCGTTTAATTAACACTGCGCTTGTGAGGTCGAGGACAACTTTCAGGAGTTGGTTTTCTCCTTCCCGGTAAATTCTAGGGGGAGGGTTGAACTTAGGTCACCAAGCCTGCATAGAAAGTGCTTTCACCCACTCACTGAGCCAACTCACAGGCAGGAACAGAGATTTTAATGCACCTCCCCCGCCAGTCCCATCCTAAACTCTCCTCTCCTTTTCCCACCCTCCCCTCCCATGCCCTTTCTTCTTCTTTCTGCCCATTGCAGAAAGGGACCACCATCTCGCTGTTCATCTAGCGGATGCTCACCGGCACAGCTCAGGCTTGGGGCTGCACAAGGAGATTCAGTTTTGTCTAGTGGTGCTGAGAAACATATACACAGTGCACAGGGAGTGGTCCTCCCCCGGGGTGAGGCTGGAGGGAGGAACATCTTGTGCAACATGGTCTTTGTTACCAGTGCCTCAGCCATGGAGCTGAGCAGGAAGCACACAATATCAGATTTAGATCCCACACATCCCAAGCATTGCACACAATTACGCACAGGAGCCTGTGGGATCCACAGAAGCAGAAAATGGAATTGCTATCAAGCAAGTGGGTCACTTTCACAGGAATCCTTGGCAGACACCAGGGGTGCTGAGATTCCTGTGGTGCACAGTTATGGGGAAGACCAGCTCATTAGCTCACAAGGTATCGGTGGCAGGCAGATTAGCAGCCTGGGGTCTCATGGGGAGTCCTCACTATGATCTCTGCTTTCCTACACCCTCTCGAGATAGCTCTCCAGGGCTCTCATGGGAGAGGGTGTCACCTGGACCCTTAACCTTAATAATCTCCTTTCCACCCAGGATTCCACATGCACAGTATGACTATGTGTTTCTTCTGCCCATTGCAGAAAGAAGTGGAGTCAGAAATGGCTTTGTAAAGGAGCAGGGTCCCAGAGAAACAAGAGTTGGTGAACCAGAGTGGGAGGAATATTGTGTGGAAGCTCCAGAGACAAGGAGGGGCTCAGGAGGGCCTGAGCAGAGGAAGCAAGGGGGAGTCAGGGAATGAAGTACTCAGGATTTTGAGCTTAGGACTTTGTACTGCCCTGGAGACCAACACTGGCCACCAGAGAACTGTGCACAAAGAAATGTCCTGGGCAGCTGAGCTGTGGGCAGTAGTTTGAAGATGCACAGACTTGCAAAGCACTCCAGAATGGGGAAAATGATGAAGGCTGCTGGGGGGCAGACTAGGGGGGGCAGGTGTGAGAACCCCAGGAGATGGGGGTTTACAGGCACATGAGTAGAAGAGTCAAGGTACTGCACTAGGCTGAGATGTGGCTCTGTTCTTAGAGCGCTTGCCTGCCATACATGAGGGCCGGAGTTTCACGCCCAGTACCATGTAAATCCATGGCGGTAAGTCCAGCATTCAGGAGCTCTGAAGGAAAAAGAACCAGCAGTTCAAGGTCATCCTCCAGACCACAGTGAGTTTGAGGCCAAGTCAGCCTGGAGGTACCTGAGACCTTGCCTTCTCAAAATAAAAGAATAAAGATAAAGTCTTTGTTCTTAAAGGTGCTGGTGGCACACACCTTTAATCCCAGCACTTGGGAGGCAGAGGCAGGTGGATCCCTGTGAGTTCGAGGCCAGCCAGGTCTACAGAGGGAATTCCAGGACAGCCAGGGCTACACAGAGAAACTCTGTCTTGAAAAACAACCACAACAACAAGAATAAAAATAAACATTAAAAAGATGCTGTTGTGGTTTGGTTCTTGTGAATAGCTGAATGTTGTTCTATTTTGTGGCAGGACACTTGGAAGAGCCCTAAGGTGGTAAAAGTGTTTCTGCTTTGGACAAGAGAGATTTCGGGAACTGGAGGTCACTGAATCTATGGTCAGGACCTGGGGACTTAAGACTCAGATGTGGGGTCCTGGGTGGAAAGGAGACTATTAAGAATAAGGGTCCAGGTGACACCCTCTCCCATGAGAGCCCTGGAGAGATATCTCGAGAGGGTCTAGTGCTGTGGAACCATTGTTGTACACTGTAAATGTGCATTGCTCTCATGGTTAATAAAAAGCCAATAGCTGGGCAGGAAGAGATTGGGTGAGGCAACCTGACACAGAAAGAATTCTAGGAGGAGATAGGGAGTTGCCAGCCAGATGCAGAGGAAGCAAGATGAGAATGTTGCACTGAGAAAAGGTACCAAGCCACGTGGCTAAATATAGATAAGAATTATGGGTTAATTTAAGTGTAATAGCTTGATAGTAATAAGCCTGAGCTACTGGCAAAGCATTTATAAGTAATATTAAGCCTCCGAGTCAATTATTTGGGAAGCAGCTGCCAATGTGGGAACAGGCAGGTGGGACAGAAATGACTGTTTACATATGGCACCCAAACGTTCGGCAAGAATTTCTTCCTAAAGCCTGAAAAAGCTTTAAAAAAGGATTCTAAACACATAAAAACACAGTTAAACTGGGCTTCTTGGTGGCTGCTTTTTCTTGGGTAGGCTCTGTTTGCTAAGCAGTGAGCAGAGGCACGGCTCCTTTAAGAGATGGCTTCCTGACCCAGCGTTAGTGACAAAACCTGCCCTGTTCACTACCAAACACTCAGATGGAGTTTATGAGCAGTGGGTGGCATACTACTCGGTGGCAGCGTGGACCCAAAAACTTCCCAGAGTTGGGGCAGTAAATATCGTTCCCAGAGCTGACAGTAAACATGCCTCCATCATAAGACTAGCCTCTCAAGGACCCAAGAAGCGGGCATCCTAGACACACCTGCTTAGCAGCTTAAAGGCTCATGTGGTCAGAAAAGGATAGAGACAGTAAAGACAGATTCAGATGAAAATATAAAAATAAAATAAAAATCTCTAAATGGTTTAGAGTGTGTTTAAAAATATACATAGGCTTGGGAGAGAAAGGAGAAGGTAAAGACAGTCATAAAAAAGACTATATAGTTTTAAAATAATACAGTAAAGCTCTTAAAAAGGGAATAAAGTAACATAAAAATATTAAATATTTATATTTATATTTACGTGGCAATATAAAAAAGCCACATCAAGATGGAAAATATACAGAGAGTCTGGATATACATATTAACTGTTTGTTATTGTGTTGTCTTTTAAAATTTTTGACTGCTATGAGACATTTGATTATAAAAGTTGCTGGATTAAACCACTCTATATATTTTAAAATATCTTGACTCCAAAATTTAAGTCAAAAAGTACGTCACTTTGGGGGAGGTTGTGTTTTTGTTTCCACAGGAAATGAGAGGTTATGGATACATACTGGGGTTAAGGAAAATCAGGTTTGATCCAGGAAGACCCCCTGGAATCTTGACTACCAACATGGGAAAATAAACCTAAAGTAACTACAAGATGTGACATATATTTTACCTGCTAAGACATAAAACAAAGAATTATCTTTGACTGGATTATATACAATGCACAATTTATATTTGTATTAATACAGACATGTATGTTACTTTTAAAAGTTTATATATTTTCAGAGCAAGGGAGCCATACACCAATGAAAACAATGGCCCAGATGATCTAGCATTCAAAACAGCTTCAAGGCTGCTAAGATGATTCAGCCTCACAAAGTACTACATCCAAGACTTAAAAATTATCCTAAATTTTCTCAGGGTCCCAATAATATCACCAGCACACACAACCAAAAGGAAGTAGTTTAGAGAACTATGCTCACATTCCCCAAAATAAACTATGGTTATTTGTCATTGTTTAGTTGTTGGTTACAAATTGTTATTGGTAATGGTCAGAAAAAAAGCTGAGCAAAGGAGATTAGATTCAGGGATCTTATTAAAAAAACAAAAGGGGGATATATAAACAATAGGAAAAAGGGTAGATTACTGAATCTACTTTAATAAAAACAACAACTATTAATCTTACATATTTTACATTGGTATGGATTTTGATTTATTGATACAAATTTACAGTTAATTCTGTTACACTGTATGTACATTTCTACTCTTGTTTAAGGTATGTTTATGCAACTCATTTAAAAATTAATATATAATTTTAAGAGATATAGATTAACAGTCATCTATAATAGTCAAAATTACAGTCATGTTAGATATGTTTTCAAGGTCATACAGAGATATATTTTAATAGATAGATAGTCCTCAAATACTTTAAAGACCTACAGAATATGGCATTTAATATGTTTAATAACCTAAGGCATTTCATGACAGTGAGACATATCTGCTTCTGACAGCATCAATCTACTTCAGAGATGATGGGCATCAAAGAAACTTCATATGGAGTTTTTTCTTATGGCAAAAGCTAGCCACACGGGCAGAAAAACTGCCCTTGCCTCAGTTGCAGACAGTATATTGTTCAAACTGGACCAGCAGGATACAAGAAAGGTGACTGGTGAGAACTTTTCCAAAACAAGGTAGGACAGTCCTTCAGAATTCCCTGTCAGATATTCTACTTGGATGCCCCAATGGTTCAGAGGAACCTAGTGTGACTGTTGTGGTGGCCTGATGTCCCTGTCATTAGGTAACCTTTCACTCTTCTGGGGTCTTTGATGAGGTTGAAGACTAGATAGTTATAATTATAGTTTCCACTGATCTCCAAAGTATATAAAGAACTCAAGAAACTAGACATCAAAATACTGAACAATCCAATTAAAAAATGGCCTGAAGAGCTAAACAGAGAATTCTCAAAAGAAGAATCACAAATGGCTGAAAGACATTTAAGGAAATGCTCAACATC